CCCCCCCCCCCCCCCCCCCGCACCCCTCCCGCCCATATTCACATTTATATGTTCTCTGTTAATGTTTTAAATCTGTGTTGCAGTTATACTCTCTGCAGTTTGCCTTTTCCATTAGCCATTGTGACTATTGTTTTGATCACTCTAAAGTCAGATTTAATAAAGATAACACTATTTATGTTGCCAAAGAGAATTTCATTATGGCACATGGTAGAATGGGCTGCCCTACTTATCTGGCCTAAAGACAAACCTAATGCGTCTCCTTTTGTGGGTACGAACCGAACATCATCCATCCATCCATCCATCCATCCGTCTCCCAACCACTTACTCAGTACTGGGTCACAGGGAAGCCAGAAGCCTGGCCTTAGAAGAAAAGGCTCACAGGCACAGGAAGACTCTAAGCAAGATCCTTGAATTTTATTCTGAGTCTAATAAAGTAGACGTTAAATTATTTAAGTGATAATTTGGTAACACTTTACCTGAGGGGACGCAAGTACCTTATTAACTCAGTTACTATTCAAGTACAAATCATGAACAAATATAGTAACTGCATGAAAAACATGAACTGATATGATTGATTAATGATGAACAAACATGGGATCAGTATGTAACTAACACTTAGTTTCTGGTTAATTAATACATTAAGTAAGAGTGTACTACTACATTAATTGTGCCCCCTCAAGTATAATGTTACTTATCTTTAAATTACTTGCCATAATTTGGTGTCAGATCAATAAAAATGCCATGTTCTGGATGTCAAAGGGTGTCCCTTTTCAGATTGGCTGCAGGGCCTGCCTGGTGTTCTGCCACTATTTTATCATGGTGAACTTCTTCTGGCTCCTAGTGGAAGGCCTGTATCTGCACACGCTGCTGGTCACGATGTTCCTCGAAAACAAGCGCTTCATCATCTATCTGCTCATCGGCTGGGGTAAGAACCCCCTTCGCCTCCTACACACGTTTAACGGATCAGCTTATTTTCACAACCATGGGTTCCTTTAAATCAGAGCTAGATAAGATTTTAACAACTCTGAGCTATTAGTTAAGTTCTCCCCAAACGAGCTTGATGGGCCGAATGGCCTCCTCTCGTTTGTAAATTTCTTATGTTCTTATGTTCTTACTCCACATGTGGGGTCGACTAGAGTCCTTCCTGCGGCAGGATATATCAGTATCCACACTTGCCTGTGCCTGTTTCATGTCACTTACACAATCTGACTTTTACAGATATTATCAGTTTATAAAGGCTTGTTAGGCGCGTGTGGTAAGACAGTGGAATAAAATTCAGCCGTAAAAGTTTAAAACTGGAAATCATAACACTAGAAGTAGTTACGCGCTTTAAAAGTTAAGTAGCCAATGAAAGTGGATTCACCAACATACAGGTCCTCCTCTGAGCGCTGATGTACATTTCTTCACCCAGGCTTCCCCACCGTGTTCGTACTCGCGTGGATTACGGCGAGAATTTATCTGGAGGACACCGGGTAAGACGCAAGCGCCGTAAATGTAATCCGACTCACTCGCGTTCATATTGATGATTTGCAGAAATACTAGCGTGACAACGGTAGCAGCAGTGTCCTCTTTCAGCTGAACTTTGTACGTTAAACTCATTTTGCAGGATTAAGTGGGTGTCGCGGAAGCGTTTTTAAATATCGGTTTTTCATGTCCGTTTTCAGATGCTGGGAGATGAATGAAATTGCTGTTCCAAACTGGGTGATCAATGGTCCAATCATGGTTTCCATCATGGTGAGTCTCCGCGTGACGGGATTAACCGGAGTTCCGGCACATTCCGCTGGCTCTCAGGATAAGATACTAGCACATTACTTTCCTCTGTATACTTGAAGCCCCCCACCCCCCTCCCCCCTCCGCCAAATCCAATCCAGCAGTCATGATGTATTCATTTATTTGATAAGTAAATTTACCAGGGTTTAGCAGAGTACTCTAAGCCAGGTGATTTCCGTATTGCAGGATGAGGTTTGTTTAGGTAGTATCCTGGTCTGTCTTGGATCGGAGCCGGGGCGGTAAGTCCTCGTTCATCGAGCTGTTCAGGATCAGCTTATTTTCACTCTGCTTTAGTGAACCTTTTATTCAAGCTACGCCCAGCTAACATGAAGGTCTAAATTTGTTCTAACGGGAAGACATCTCGCTGTGGAGCTGAATGAGACGTCACCTAAGGTGGCCGCATACTGCAAATGACGTCTCGACAGAACGAAAATGAACACGTCAGCAAAAACAACCTCAAATGTCATGCCACAACCCTACAACGTTGTCGATGTAGCAGACCTCCCACACAAGGCGCAAATAAGTCTATTGTGGCAAGTGTGTGTCGTTTTAATAAAGGAGAAGATGGCTCTTTTAAAATGGAAGTTACTCTCTTTATTAACATCCACAATTAGTTTAATACGAGCAGCGGCACAGACTGGGAAGTCAGGAATTTACATGACAAACATTACACAGTTACGACATTTACAATTAACATAAACACAGGAATACACATTAATTGACATTATATAAATATACGCGTGGTGAAGTGCAAAGGATGCTGGTAACTTCATAAATAGTTGACCAACCCCGCGGCATCCCATTTGTGTCAGCTAATCATGGACAGTGGGCGGGATCAGAACAAACAACGTAGATTCCAACGATTTTGTTTTGACGTATACGGCCAGTTTAAGCGAACTTCTTAATTTGTTCTGATCCAACCCACCTTCCATGATTAGCTGACACGAATGGGATGCCGCGGGGTTGGTCAGCAGGACTTATTATGCAGTTCCCAGCATCCTTTGCACCACGTGACGTGGAAGTGGCCACGTTGAGGGACTCACAAGAGGCTCCAGGTGTGTAACGGATTTCTGCTGACGCTGTTGGCCCAGTCTTGAACACAGCAGAATGTCTCATGCTAGAGGAAACTTTTATGGCGTTTGCCAAAATCTGAATTGTTAAAGCCCTGATTGCTATTTGCTATTAGGGGGGGAAGCCAGATGAAAGTGAAACTGTGTCCTAGTGGATGATGGACGTTGCCATTCAAACTGTGCACCACCCATCCATCTCCCCTTTTGTCCCCTACAGGTGAACTTCGTCATTTTCATCAGCATAATCAGAATCCTGGTCCAGAAGCTGATATGCCCTGTTGTGGGGGGCAAAGATCAGTCTCAGTACAGGTGAGGAAATCCGCTGGGGGGGTGAGGCACACGGCCACGGATTAAGTATCCAATTCAGTGTATGAATCCAGGCTCTAGGCTGTGAGGCTGAAGGAAAAAACCCATCAAAAGGTTTAATAATTGAAGGACTTTGGTGTGTGAGGGTTAAACACACATTTTTTTGTTTTGAAGCGTAGCAGGTCGATTGGTCAGAAGAAATGTCTTTTGCTGTTGTTAAAATGCCTTTATTCGCATTAAAGCTTGATAGTGTTGCATCTTCTCACTCCTCACTGAGTGGTACTGGGAAGGAGGTCACCAGCACGCTGACAGTCAGTATTCCTTTTGGGAGCATATTTCCGCTGTGCTGTGGAAGCTTTCGGCTTTTTTAGGCCGAGGACTCGACGAAGGCAGAGCTGCAGTGTTGGCTCCATCCGGATAATTATAATTAATCATAGGGCTAGAGATCTTTGTCATTTTCGGGGGGGGGGGGATGGCCAGAATTCTTAACAGGCCTCTGAATGCTTATTATCTGCCAGACCGTGAGCTTTTTTATGCCCAAGCAGCCCAGAACGGAAAATGCTTTCCAGAGTTTGCACATTTTGCAGGTCATTCGGTGTAATTACATTTCAATAGTAAGTGTAACAGGTGGGGGGGTGCGATGGCTAACGCGAGGGTTCTAGGTATTATCTGTACGTTCTAGTTTCCTGTCATAGTGCAAACACCTCTATAGTTTGGAGAATGGTGACTCTAAGTTGCCCATAATGCCCCGTGATGAACTCGCATAGCTAAATTAGGACGGACCCGTGAAAATTAGCCCAGTCTCCTGGGTGCTGAGGTCTGCGCTACAGAAGCGACCGTCGTTCTGCTGCAGGTCCGGCCGCCTTATGAACACGTTCAGCAGTTTTTTTTGCGGTTTTTGTTTTTTTTCCCTGGAAATAATTTAGTAAAAATGCTCTTCGCAGCACATTTTCCTTCGCGGAATTATTTGTGCAAAGCCACAAAAGTCTGCTAACGAGCAAAGTAGCAAGTCCGTTAAACAACAACCGTCATGGAGACATGGATCCCGTCGATGTTAGCACGATAACAGAATTCCCTGAACAGCCTTTTAACACAATTAATGTAGAAAAAATTGGTCTACAATAAAATATTATTTTATAAATGTTTTATGTGTATATTGTGAAGGTGACATCCAGACTTGGATTCATGGCGTTAAAGGTGTAAAGTGACCATGTTGCTGTGGCTCTATCAGGTCTTTTGTTTGTTTGTTGATTTTGTTAGTCTTAATTGTAGTAGTGGAATAACATTCTGGGAACATCAAGAAAACTGAACACATTTCCATACCTTAATTGTAGCATTCAGTAAATGTTCCAAGAACGAAAAATTGTTAGCAGGGATTCCAGCAAACTATATTGATGGAGGAAACTTAAACTTCTTGAACGGTGGCGGCATGGATAAGATAAGATTGCCCGGGCCTTCTTCAGTGTCCTGACCTTGTGCTGATGCATGAGGTCGTTCAAGGTCAAACCTGCTGCCTTGCTGCACAAGGCTCCCACCCGACCCGCCTGAAATGCTGGCTTCTGTTATTTCAGGAGGCTTGCCAAGTCTACGCTGCTCCTCATCCCCCTGTTCGGTGTGCATTACGTGCTTTTTATGTCACTGAATGAGTCCATGGCCGACTACAAAATATTCTTGGAACTGGGCATTGGATCGTTTCAGGTAAACCGCCGCCTGGTTTGTTTTGGTATTACTGTAGTGTGCTTGCTTTTTGAAACATGAATATGTTTCACTTTGTGTTTTGATCACAGGGCCTGGTCGTTGCCATTCTTTACTGCTTTTTAAACAGTGAGGTGAGGAGTCTGTTTAATAACCTGTTTTTTATGTTGTTTGATGACTATATGAAATAAGCATTTGTTTCATTTCCATCAACTGAACTTGAAAACCAAAGTCAGCCCACAATAACCTTAAATAAGTGGTGATTTACTGAAACTAAAATCAGTTTTATAAACTTTCTCCTGCAGTCCCAGCATGAACATGTGTTGTAAAGACCCTGCCATTAGAAGGGCTATTGATTTATTTATTTAGTAACCAGTGTTGTCTGTGTAGCTACAGAGTCCAGTTATCTGCCCTGCTAACACAATGCCCTGCTAATACACAATGCTAACATAATGCATGCTAAGACAACACTATGCTAACACAAAGTCATGCTAATGCACAATGCTAACACAACGGCATGCTAATACAACACTATGCTAACACAAAGTCATGCTAATGCACAATGCTAACACAACGGCATGCTAATACAATGCTATGCTAGCTCCAAGTCGTGGTGAGACAACCTCATGCTACTTCAACACCATGCTAACACAAAGTCGAGCTAATGCTCAGTGCCAACACAACGGCATGCAAATACAACACTATGCTAGCTCATAGTCATGGTGAGACAACCTCATGCTAACTCAACACCATGCTAACACAAAGTCATGCTAACATGAAACCACGGTAACACTAGGCCACTGTAATACAATGCTGTGTTAACACACCATTAGTCTAACACATGTCTCCATTTGTCTGCTTGGCGTTGGCCCAGGTGCAGGGGGAGCTACGCAGGAAGTGGGAAAGTATGAGCCTGAGCTGCAGACCAGTCCAGGACTACAGCTTCCACAACTACTGCGTGTCTCAGAACGGCCCTGACAATGTGCAGCAGAACCAACGACACTCCCGGGCCCCGTCCGTCCTGCAGACCGAGAGCACGGATTTGTGACAGGCAGGGTGTTCCTTTGTGGGGGTCTTTCCTTAGCCCCATGAGGAAGTGTAGAACATCCCTTCCTGGGCTTTAGTGTGAAGAATGGAGGCCAGTCAGTTAAGTGCAGGTTTATGGACAAACTAAAAACATGCACTGTTATATCCCGAAGTGTTCTCTCGATTAGACTGTCCGTGGGTTAATAAGTCAGCTACATCTATAATTAAGCTATATATACTTACTCAGAATGACACAGTTGATAGTTATCCTGCTTACAAGTCTAGGAATAACTGTCAGTTTTCACTAGGTTTTACTCGTCGTAAAACCACATGAATCCATGAGAATGAGGCAGCAGAGAGTGACAGATGTTATATGTCGACTCCCTAACTGGCCGGTGTCCCTAAGTGATGGAATTTTGCCAAGGACATTCCAAGCAGATTACTCTTCTTTTTGGAAGTAGTGTCCAATGTGACAGATGTGAACCAGCTGCGTTACGAGTTAATCGTGACTAAAGAAGATGTGCATTAAGGAATCACCTGACATCATGTAACCGAGTGAACACTTGACAGTGAAGAGATCTAAGAGGGATTTGACCTGTACACCAACTCCTAGTTGAACCTATAAGCTTGTCTGGTACTGGTGCTGCCTGAGTACGTCCTACTCTTCTGGCATAAAAGTGGGAAAGTTAGATGAGTCAGTGATTCATGTAAACAGGTCGGACTCAGCGCAAAGCTGAGAGGTGCAGTGGTCGACCTGCTCGGAACTAGTGTGACCAGTAATCTTGGTGCTTTGTGTATTTCTTCATTTTCAGCCAGTTTCACTTGCCCTACTCGTTGAGAGACGTTTTTAAACTAATTTTTCTTCCATTTTCACTTCTGAGACTGATTTTGTTTTTTCTTTTATTATAGCAAATTCCATATGTTTGCACAGAAATGACAGGCATCGCTTTACATCAACTACACTTTCATAATGATAAATACAACCACGTTTCCAAAAAAGTTGGGGATACTGTGTGAAATGTAAATTAAAAACAGAATACAATGACTTGCAAATCATATAGACCATGGGTCTCCAACTCCGGCCCTGGAGAGCTACTATCCAGTAGGTTTTCTGTCCCACTTGGCTTCTGATGAGCCAGACCTGTTCCTGGTATTTACCTGAGAACAGGTGTGGCTCATCAGAAGCTGGGTATGATAGAAAACCTACTGGATAGTAGCTCTCCAGGACCGGAGTTGGAGACCCCTGATATAGACCCATATTTAATTGACAATAGAACAAGGACAACATATCAAATGTTGAAACTGAGAAATTCTATGGTTTTATGACAAATATATGCTCAATATGAATTTGATGCCAGCAACATGCTTCAAAAAGGTTAGGACGGGCAACATAAGACTGGAAAAGATGTGTAATGCTAAAACAAAACACCTGGTTGAATATCTCACAACTAATTAGGTTAATTGGCAACCTAAAGTTCGTAAGATGATTACGTATAAAAAGAGTCTCAGTTTAAGAAAAATGTTCCTCAACATAATATTGCAAAGAATTTGGGAATTTTATCATCTATGGTACACAATATCATTCAGAGAATCTGGAGAAATCTCTCTCTATTGAAACCCGATATTTGATAGCCATGATCTTTGGGTCCTCCGGCTCTGGCAGCACTGCGTTAAAAAGACACGATTCTGTAGTGTAAATCACCACATGGGCTCATGAACGCTTACGAAAACCATTGTCTGTGAGGACAGTTCGTCGCTGCATCCACAAACGTAGGATGAATTTCTACCACGCAAAATTATCTAGCACGCACGCAAAAGTAATTCGTACCTAAGCGAAAGTCGTGCGCACGTGAAATTATGTTGTGCACACGTGAAATTATCTCATGCACACGCGAAAGCAAGATCATTTGAATTTTTTGCACAGGTCACTTCAGGGGTTCCGTATAAATTGAGTATATATTTGTCATAAAACGATATATTTTCTCAGTTTCAACATTTGATATGTTGTCTTTGTTCTATGTTGAATTAAATATGGGTTTATATGATTTGTAAGTCATTGCATTCTGTTTTTACTGTATTTACATTTTGCAGAGTCCCAACTTTTTGGAAATGAGGCTGTGTATATATATATAAATTATATATATATCGTAGAATGTTATATCTCTAGAACAGGGGTCACCAACATGGTGCCCGCGGGCACCAGGATGCCCCCAAGGACCACATGAGTCGCCCCGCGGACCTGTTCTAAAAATAGCACAACTCACCAGTGAGCAGAGTCTAATATTTGATTTTATCCTGTTGCTATTCTTCTTTAATCACATTTGCGTTTATATAGATTTGAAAATGACAATATCTTAAAAAAAAGCATTTAAAACATGTTTATTAAGAAAAGTGTATCAAACTGGTAGCCCTTCTTATGGCTCAGTACCCGTGAAGTAGCTCTCAGTTTCAAAAAGTTTGGTGACACCTGTTCTAGAACATTCAGTGCACCTTCATAATGCATCCATAGAAGATTCATAGTAGCACATATAGGTATACCTTAAAATCCTAACATACCTTAACAGTTTTAAAATCCATTAATAAACATTATATGATTATACCATATTAATTTTGTTATTATATAATGTTTGTTATTGATGTATATTAAAGCTGTTAATGTATGTTAGGATGTTAAGGTATACTTACATGCTTACGAATGTTCTGTGAATGCATTATGAAGGTGAAATTAATGTAAAGTTTTTCATTTGTTGCAGCCAATGGGCAAGTACAATTCAGCAAAATATCACACAAGAAAAATAACTAAAATATAGATTCTGAGCTTGCTTTTGCTTTAATAATCCTTCAAAGTAGCTGCAGGAAATTCAGATTCCAGCTTCTCCATGACAGCAGAATCCATAATTTTCTTTAGTAAAGTGGATGTAAACGTGAAGTGGCACGATCTTCGAGAAAAAAAAATCTTAACTTGCTATACCAGTGTGGGATTTTACTTCAAAAAAGGTTTTCCCATGTTTGTACAAAGGTGTGAAAGTGAATGAAAGGACGACATGAATGTTATATTCTCAGTCATTGATTGATAAAATTAGTCATGTGTAAATATTATAGCGCAAATGTAATTTATTTTTTAATCCTCTGTCTCCTTTTTTTATTAATGAAGGGGAATACCTTTGACATCATGCCGTTTAGACTTTCCGTGACTTAGTCAGTAACATTGTTATTGGTTATTAATGCTCATTTGCATTATTCCTTAGGTTTAAGGTCAAGGGTCAGGACAAAACAAATGCCCTGGACTTCGAAGCGCTTATCCTGAATGGGGTTGCGGGGAATTTTTCTCTACCAGCCCATAACTGCATGCATGTGTCCATGTGCAGGGTAAACAGGTGCCAGTCTGTGACCTTTGTGACATGTCGTTCAGACCTTCTTCAGAAACGGCCACGGACTCAGTGCCGTCAGTTTCAGTGCCATGGTGTTATCCCTGAAAGTGTGCTTCTCTTGTGCAGTCGGTATTTCCTCGTCCTCTTCAATCCCTTCATTAAGACGACCCCTTCCTCTGATGTAGGTTAATTCTCCATATCTTTTTCGGGGCAACTGAAGGTCAAATCCAGCATGAGACTATTCATTACCCTCATTGTAAGATTATGAATCTGTTTTGTAACACTATGGTTTGCTCATGCTTATTTTATACTTTAGTCGCTGGGTTTAGAAACGTTCATCATTTAACACTGTTGTGTCATAAAGTTACTACAAATAAATTTGACTTTCTGCATATCCTGGCCTACAGTTTAAATGGTTATTTTTTGTTTAGATGTAAGAAAACGTTATAAAGCAAATTTTAATAGAATAGAATGGTGATGCTCTATTAATCCACGTGGGGAAATTCCCCTGCTGGACATTGCTCTCCGTCCAGACGCAGAAGATTGATAACCTCCCCCAAAAAATTTGAAGGATGTTGACATCAATCCCAGTACCTCTCACATGCTACACAAGCACACTACCATTGGCACCAAAGCAGGGGAACGTTTCCTTAGCTTGAGGGAGGTAGAAGGGAAAATGGGGGGGAAGAAGGGAGGAAGAAGGAAAAAGAGACGCCGATGAAGACCCTCTATGATGGTGAAGTTGTTACTATGCATTTTGCCTAAAGTGCCAACATGTCTTACATTGTGAGGGAGATTAACTTGGATCCCAAGGTTTCGGGTTCGAATTCTGCCTCGAAAGTGGAACATACCACTGAAATACCTAAAATGTGTGTTTTTTAAAAAAAAAAAAAAAATCACATTAGATTCATGTATAATTGTATCTGTTTAATTAAAGACTGTTAATTCGATCTTTTTAATTTAAACACAAATGATTTATTTAGAGCAGGGGTCACCAACATGGTGCCCACGGGCACCAGGACACCCCCAAAGACCACATGAGTCGCCCGCGGACCTGTTCTAAAAATAGCACAACTCACTAGTGAGCAGAGTCTAAAATTTAATTTTATCTTGTTGCTATTCTTCTTTAATAACATTTGCAAAATGACTAAATGAAATAAAATATAAATACAATGCAGTATAAAAAGGAAAAATAAATGAATAAACAAACAAGCAACAAACAAAATGGATTATTATTATTTCTCCAATTTTTTCTTCATTTCATCAAGCCACTCCTCTCTGGATGCAGCCTCTATTAGGAGTGTTTTTTTTTTTTTTTTCTTCTTTAAATAAACGATATACACTATCTTAATTTAAACCTGCCCTAATGAAATTCATCTAAATGGTTTAGCTAACAAGATTACGGTATTTTGCGAAATTTTATCTTAACTGCTAAGTTAGTAAGTTTAATGGCATCTACAATAAGGAATGACGTATAAGAAAACTTTATTAACATTCCTTAAGTTAATCCACAGGCTAATATTGTTGTGTGACATTAGACAAGTTATCTAACAACCGAAAATTTGCTCGTTAGCAAGCTATTTACAATAGTTGGCTATTTTTCTTTCAGGCAACGCCGCACATTAAATGTTTAATGTACATATTATAAAAATCAATAAGCAGTAATATCAGTTAGGTCCGTCAAATCACATAAATTAAAGATCATTAACCAATTAATCTGAAACAGAAAGCGGTCTAGCAAATTTATTGGCTCAGTAACAAACAGAAGAAGGTCTGTGAGCTGATTGGCTAGAAATTGGAAGACAGACCATGAGCTGATTGGTAAGAATTGGAAGCAGATTGGGAAATGAAGCTATTTCATTGGCAGGCACCTGTGCACACATTCTTCCACCGCAGGCCTATCAAAGTTTTAGTTTTAGTTTTTCTTTAATAGTCGGAAGAGGCAAAGACGCAGTGACAGAATCTCGCCTGTAGTCTTGGTTCGTGTAATGGGAGCGTTTCTTGGTAATCATGGGATTAGGTTGACTGGTGTAGATTTCCGCAGATATCTGGAGTTCTCCTGCTGGTGTGTAAGGTGTAAGCCTGGTGTTACTTGTAAAATAATGGAAAATCCTTCATGCCTGTGGTGCTGAAATCACCCCAGTTAAGTTATAAGACGTCTGAGGCGTTGGGAGTTTTTTTTTTCTTCTTTCAAACTGAAGTCTGGCAAACCCTCGCTGGGATTCGTCGTAACCCCCTACAGTCATTCACAAATATAACACACAGCCATCTGCGTTTGATGTAAACACACAGATCTCCCCATTGAGGACATAAACCGTGCTTGATCTCAGCCATAAAGCCATTAGGCTAACACACATATATTTTGGCGAGGAAATTTATTGTGTTAACGCATGACGTTAGTTTTAAAGTCATAATGCATTATTAATTCTAGAATCATTTTAACACGTGGCATTTTGATATTGAAATGGAAGAACAATTGATACTTTTTATTGATCCCCATGGGGAAATTGTCTTTACACCTCCCTCAACTTGATCTTTGTAGAGTAAACTGTCCGCGAAGGGCAGGCACCCATAGCAGTGCCCAGGGAGCTGGGGGTTAAGGGCCTTGCTCAAGGAACCACAGACATGCTGAGGCTGGGTTTGAACCTTCGGATTACAGGCACACAGGTTTAGCCCACTGAGTCACA